CTCAGGCATGCAGGGCAAGCGCTCTACCACTGAGCCACTTTCCCAGCCCTTTTACTTTTTTTTTAAGTACAGAAATAGTTATAAAACACCACTTCTCATTCCTGATGTTCCTTTTCACAGCCATTGTCATCAAGAATCCACAGGTATTCTATGCATCTGTAAGAATCAAAACTGTTTTTATACTAAAGTTCACAGTTTTAATGTTTTACATTTTGCTTTTCTCTTTAAAGGTATCATACCAGTACATTACATTGAGAGTTACTTCTTTCTTTTTCCTGATGAATATTTTATTTTGTATATTGTAATTTAGCCAATTCCTTCTTAAACATTCTTATTTCTTATACATTCTATTGTAATGTTGCAACCAGGACCATATACAGGTACCATGTCATAGTGTTACTTAAAATGAGAGTATGTAGGGAATGAGAATATAGCTTAGTGGTAGACTATGTGCTTACATGCTCTGGGGTCTCTGGATTAAATCTCCAGCATTAAAAAGAAACAAAAAGTAAACAAAGCTCTTTCATAAGATTGATTCCTAAATGGGAAATCCTGGTTCATGGAACATGCGGTTTTAAATTTTGGTAGTCATTATCTAGTTGCCCTCGAACTTGTATTCCTAGCAAATGTCTGTTTCTCAAGAATCTTACTACCAAAGTTAACTATCTGAAATGCTTGACTATGATGGCTAAGGAATAATTTATATTAACTTCATTTAGAATGCTGTAGAAATAATTGCATATATTTGAGAATAATTGGTACTTTGTTTATATCTACTAAGCCAGTAGATATAAAGCAGCTTTGTCTGGGTATGTTATCTAGTCTTCCTGACCTGTGGAAACTTTTTATATACTAACAAAGTTAGCTCTTGATCTGTGATATGTAATGCAAGTTTTCCCCCATTTTGTCTTTTGACTTTATGATGCTTGCCAAACACTTTTTCAAATGTAATTTATTTAAAATTTTTAAATAGTGCCTAGGATTTTTTGTTTGCAAATGCCTGTATAATTCTATATGCAGTTTTGTGGATTGTTTTATTTTGACAGAGATCTTGAAAGCCCATGTAGATGTTACTGTGAGTTTTAATTCAATGTGTGTGTTTTCCATATTATTCTACCTCACACCTTAGCCTCCAACATTTCCAAAATATGGCAGAAGGAAGGGGTGCTGTGGCTCAAGCGGTAGAGCGCTCACCTTGAGTTGAAGAGCACAGGGAAAGCGCCCAGGCCCAGAGTTCAAGCCCCACAACCGACAAAAACACACACACACACACACAATACCCAAAATATGGCAGAAAAATAGTGATAAAAGTGATAAAAATTGTGATAAAAGTGACAGCATTCTTTCACATTTGCCTCTAGGAAATACAGATATTGTGTAGGAAATTAAATAAATGTGTCTTGTACTCAGTGACTTGAGTGAGATATAGCTGCGAGTGAGATATAGCTGCTTCCCTCTCTGGGTAGATTTGATTCCTGCTGGGGTCTTCTCAGGTTGCCTTCGGTATGTGTACACTTGTGTTTTGTTTTTGTCAGTCCTGGGGCTTGAAATCAGGCCTGTACATTGCCCCTGAGCTTCTTTGTGCTTAAGGCTAACACTCTACCACTTGAGCCACAGCACTACTTCTGGCTTTTTCTCAATAGTTTATTGGAGATAAGAGTCTCATGGACTTTTCTGCCCAGGGTGGCTTCAAACCCTGATCCTCAGATCTCAGCTACTCAGGAGAGTGGCTAGGATTACACACCACTGGCTCCTGACTATCTGTACACTTTTAATGCCTATCTCTCTGTTTAAATATAGATAGGTAAGTTTTGGGAGGAATAAGGACTAACTGATGAACAGTGCCAAGACTAACCTGGTTATTAGCATGAGCCAGGATATACCAGTTTGAACTAGATAACCCAGTTTATAGTTATTCCCTCAAGCAGAATGTATTTTCCTTGCTTCATAGCTGCTATTTTTTCTTAAGTGAAATAATGGCTAGGTTCTCTTAGCACTTTTCTTCTAGTTTATTCATAATTGTAACTGCTAATTATTAGCACCAACTTCTTTTAAGATACAATGAAGATTAATGAAATATCTAATCTCATTCTAAAATCTCATTTTAAATCTCCTTTGATCACTCTATCAGAAGTGCCCTGTAATGTAAATTTTCATTGATAATCTCATATAATTAATATTAGTAATAAAGAGAAATTACAAGCATACTAGTTTATATAAAATGAAGAATTTAAGTACTAACCCTTTGATGAATTGGTTGATTCTTGTCAAAGTGATGATGATATCCTAGTGTTCATTAGATGAAACCATGTTAGAAATTTTTCTTAGACCTTATAGATTGGAATAAGTGACAGAATCAATGTTTGTGTTTTTTTTTGGTTCCGGTTGTGGGGCCTGAACTCTGGGCCTGGGCGCTGTCCCTCAGCTCTTCAGCTCAAGGCTAGTGTTCTACCACTTGAGCGACAGTGCCACTTCCGGCTTTTTTCTTTTTGCTTATGTGGTGCTGAGGAATCGAACCCAGGGCCTCAGGCATGCAAGGCAAGCGCTCTATCACTGAGCCACCTTCCCAGCCCTGGGTTTTTTTTTTATAGTAACAGATTAAACTCATTAGGCCTTGTGCTTGCTAGCAAGAACTCTATCACTTGAGGCACATATTTTTTTTGCTTCTAGGTTGTTTTTCAGATTGAGTTTCATGTTTGTTTGTGTTTTGTTTTGTTTTTTAATTTTCTCCTGGCCAGCTGTGGGCTGTAGTCCTTGCTCCTCTGCTTCTCAGTAGCTGGACCATACTTGTACATCACCATACCTGGTTTCTTTCTGAGATAGTTTCTCACTAACTATTGCCCTGGTGTACAATCCTATCTCCACCTCCCTGGAAGATGGGAAATTACAGACATGTGCCACCATGTCCAGGCCATAGATAATCTTAGTACTAGTAATATAGACATTGCCTTTGTCTAAGATATTGAGAAAATAAGTTGATTTACTCAGGCTTTTAATTTTTTTTAATTTATTTTTGTCAGTCCTGAGGCTTGAACTCTGGGCCTGGATGCTGTCCCTGAGTTCCTTTTGCTCAAGGCTCACACTCTTATCACCTGAGCCACAGTGCCACTTCTGGCTTTTTCCGTGATTTAATTGGCGATAAGAGCTACAGACTTTTGTACCCAGGCTAGCTTCGAACCACAATTCCTCCTGAGTAGCTATTATTATAGGCATGAGCCACTGGTGCCTGGCTCTAATTTTTTTCTTTTTTGTTAGTTGTGGGGCCTGAACTCTGGGCCTGGGCCGCTGTCCCTCAGCTCTTTAGCTCAAGGCTAGTGCTCTATGACGAGCCACAGCACCTCTCCTGGTTTTTTTTTCTGCTTATGTGGTGTGGAGGAATCGAACCCAAGGCCTCATACATGCAAGGCAAGCACTCTACCACTGAGCTTAAAATTGTTTTTAAAGGGGAAGAAAGGACATTGTCTCTTGGCCTTTTGTCAAACATGATAAATTTTAGGTCAAGTAGTGAACTACTTGTGAACATCCTTTAACAAGTAGTGATGTTGATTAAGTATGGTGTTAATACTGTGAATTGACAGATATTTATTTGGTTCTTGTAGTCACTTGGGGTCACTTCCTGATCTTTATTTCAATTACTTTCCAATATATGCTTACTGTATTCCTGTCTGTTTCTTCATATTATTCAACAATAGGTGAAACGTTCTGGAGCATGATCATTTTTATCTTTTTTTTTTTTTACAAAAGGAATCAATTGAATAGAAGGAAAAAGGTCATTTATAGTATCCAGGGGCTGTGTAATAATTATTCAGAGGTTGGAGTACATATTCAAATTCCTGGTGTTTGAGACTGTCTGTCATAATGCTACTTCTCACTTTTCTTTTTTAATAGTTTTTTTTTCAAATATTTCCTTGGTGAAAAGAGGCTAGAGCTCATGACAAAGTCAATATTTGTTTTTAGTTATTTTAGGCTCCATGTTGAATTACACACTTTTAACAGTAATAGTGCAAAGAATTCCTAGGGATGGCAAAAGAAACTTCCTTTATTCCTAGAAAAGTAGTCTCAGCTTGCAGAAGAAAAGATTCTCTAGTAGAATCAGAAAACCTTGAGGACAATTTTGTCCAATATTTGAAGATGGCTGAAGCAAACATTTTCAGCTTTATGACATCTGTGGATTTGAAAGGTTTTTAATACACATTTTGTTTTGTTCTTCCAAACTATTGGCATATCACCTCTTCAATGTGAGTTTTTCCACATCTACATTTCCATCTACATTTTAATCCAGCTGATTAAAAACAGTGATTGTGTAATATGCCTTATTTTTCTCTGAAATGTCTTATGATAGGATATTGGTGAAACCGTGCAAGCTAATATCCCATCTGCACTGCATGTTACTAAATGCTATTGGATGAAATATTCTGTCTACATACAGGTAACTTTAAAAATCTTAGCACACATGACATAGTAGGATTTGAAGAATAGAGAATGAGTAATAAAATGGCTTGTTTAATGGACTTAAGCTGTCATCTAAAGGATTTGAGTTTAGTCAAGATAGGTCAAGACTTCTCCAAGGGGACCCCATTCCATCTAAACTAAGCATGGCTGAGTATGTTCTTTTGTCAGCTGTCTTTCTCCCAAGCCATATTGATCTTGTATCAGGATTGGTTCTACCTTGTACTATGGGTTCTTTTCTGCTATAACTAAGAAGAATGTGGCTAGAAAGAAAGCATATTTCCATTACTTTTCAGGTGGTAACACGTGATAGGAACGGTGTATATGTAAAAGGTATATTAACTCCACTCCACTTACATGTGCTGTAAAGAGAATTCATTATTGGGAGTCAGAACTAAAAAACATTTTTTGTCAAATCTACAAGGAAATTATTCAGGAGTCTGGTGCAGATATTTTGCATTACGTTCCATTTGCACCTTTTATTTCTCCAGTATGTGTGGCAGAGGAATCTACCTCATTGGTTGTCTCCATGTTTTTTTTTCTCTCCACAGATGCAGACAGACATGCTGAACTATCTGGAAGCCCACTGAAAAGCAAGAGCACTAGGAAACCATTGGCATGTATCATTGGGTATTTAGGTGGGTGTTTTATAACATAAGAGAAACTCAGAAAACAATTTCTGTATGCTGTAGACATCTGACCATTCTGAATGTGTTCCTAAACCAAATGGAAGCCCTGAAAAAATAAATAGGATACCTTCATATATATAGTTAGTTTATTTTGGTTTAGAAACTTATTTTTATTACCAATACACTCAAACAGGGATATATGTTTACTTTAAAAACATTTGAATAAAAGTATTTATTTCTGGAAGTAAGCACAGATTAATCAAAAAGGAGAAAACTAAAAATTCACTAAGTAGAAGATGAATATTTTTGAGATTTTTATTTATATCCTTACACTATCTAATTCACCTTAACCTTCCCTTTAAGTAGAGGAGGGTTAGTTTTTTTATTAGATTAATTTTCAGTCCACATTTAAAAAATACCTAGCCAGGTGTGGTGTCACAAACCTATATCCTCAGTACTTGAGAGTGAGGAGGATGGCAAATTCCAGGCCAGACTGTGTTACATAATAAGAACACACACACACACACATGTACACACACACGCACATACATACACACATACATACACACACAGAGTTATAGCTTTGATATGCCAAGTCAGGATACTTTGAAAAGGACACATTTTTAGAAAGCATGCTATCTAACTCAGAAATCTCCAAAGATGATGGTTCTAGTTACATATTGAATTATCCTAATTTAAGATTACTGAGGAATACTTTTTTTTTTTTTTTTGCAAAATTTTAAGGTAAGTAATTTAGGAAAAAATGGATCCTCAAATACCTAAAAGAACAGAACGTTTTTGTACTGCTTTTTCATTTTCTCAGTAAAGGTGAAATACACACTCAGAGTTGTATTAAACCTTATTGCTCTATCTGGGAGATTTATAGTTAGGAAGTATTCAGACTTTAGCCATCCAATTTTTTCAAAATCAAAAGGGCATCCTTGAACTTGGAATATTATCTTGTCCTCAACAGTATCCCTTGGCTCAGAAGCTTCATCTTTGATGTCACTTTGTCTCCCTACTTCTTGTTTTATTGTCAAAGACTAATGTTGCCTTCACAGTATCACATGGTTGCCTAGACATGGCTGGTAACGATGATAATGCTCTGGAAGGTGGCTGCTGTCTGTTACTTTGCAGGAGAAAGTTTCTGATCATGAAAAAGAAAAAAAATAGTGTAGGACTGCGTAGTAGTCAACCTTTCTGGTGTAATTATGTATTTTACAAGTTGATCTCTGTCCCTACAACATAAGCCAAAGCTATTTTGTTCTTCCTTAGTAAACCACTGGATTTACTTGGTAAATCCCTTCCTAACATTTCTGAGTATGTTATCTTGAAGACTGAAGTACATGATTTGGGGAACACCAAGTGAGGAGGTTGTTGCCCTCAAAACTTAGCTAAATACCAATAATGGCTGGCCTCAGCCTTAAAAAATGTTTAGGATTTGAATGGATGGACAAATAATAAAAGAATATTCTCTCTTATTCTGTCTTCAAGAGAACATCTGGGCAAAGGCTTCAGTAAGTCCAAGAACCTGAAAAGTTCAGGAATACAATTGTCTTATGTGAACTGAGCACAGGATATGGGATTATAATAGAAAAATTAAGTTAGCAAACCTTCAATGTTAAGAATCTTCAATGATCCCCCATGGTATAACCCTTGTTTTCATTGTATCTGATGTCGGTATAATTTGTGGAGGGGAAGGGAAAAACAAATTGTTTAAATAGGGATACAGGTGGACCCATTGCAACAATGAGATGTACAAGACATGTTGAAAAACGAACTTTACAACTTTGGCTGGGGGGGGGGGGGGAGTGGGAAGGGATGGGAAGGGGAAAAAAAGGAGGAGGCAACAATGCTTGATAAGAAATGTACTTATTACCTTGCCCATGTAATTGTAACCACTCTATACAGTATTTTCACAATTAAAAAAAAAAAGAATCTTCATTGAAAAGAATCTTTCTTCCTTTCTTCCTTCCTTCCTTTCTTCCTTCCTTTCTTTGTTTCTTTCTCTTTCTTTCTTTCCTTCCTTCCTCTCTCTTTCTTTGTTTCTTTCTTTCTTCCCTTCCTTCCTTCCTTCCTTCCTCTCTTTCTTCTCTCTCTTTCTTCTTTCTTTCTTTCTTTCTTTCTTTCTTTCTTTCTTTCTTTCTTTCTTTCTTTCTTTCTTTCTTTCTTTCTTTCTTTCTTTCTTTCTTTCTTTCTTTCTTTCTTTTCTTTCTTTTTCTTTTATTGCGAGGCTTGAGCTCTAGGCCTGGGCACTATCCCCCAGGTCTTCAGCTCTAGCACTCAACCATTTGAGCCACATCACCACTTCTGGTTTTCTGGTTGTTAATTGAAGATCAGAGTCTCACAGACTTTTCTTCCCAGGCTGGCTTTGAACAGTAATCCTAAGATCTCAGCCTCCTGAGTAGCTAGGATTACAGAAGTGAGCTACTGGCACCTGGCAGAATCTTTATTTTTTAATAGTATATAAGCTATATCTAAATTTAGACAACTGTAGGATTTTGATCAGACCACGATGCAGTCATTTTAACAGTCTGAATGGCTTTTCCTAAAGTTCAGCAAATCAGGCTAAAATGGACCCTCACATTGAGCAGGAGGTGAGAGATCAGGTTGCTTGCCCATAGTTTACTGAGGGTCCGTGAGCAGGTAGGCTTTGGAGCAAAAGTATCAACATTAGTAATAGAAGTCCTTAACTCCCAATCCTACAGTATTGCAATGTTTGTCTGTCTACAGAGAGTAAACATAGTTCTAGACTCTAGCTCACAACAATATATATACTTCACCTAAAGTGCAGGTGCCACATACACATGTTTTTTTAATATATGTTTTTATTGTGAAAATACTGTACAGAGGGGTTGCAGTTACATGAGTAAGGTGATGAGTACATTTCTTATAAAGCATTATTGCCTCCTCCTTTGTTTTTCCCCTACCTTCCCTTCCCTCCCACCTCCACAACTACATCCCCCTCTCCCCATCCCTAAATTGTAAAGTTTGTTTTTCAACATAGTGTCTTCTACATCTCATTGTTACAATGGGTCAACCTGTATCCCTAATTAAACATTTTGTTTTTTCCCTTCCCCTCCCCATATTATACTGATATTAAATACAGTGAAAACAGTGGTTACACATTAGTTTTGTGATGTGTCCTTTATCAGTGTTTCATCTGTCTTTTGATGATTGTATCTTGACTTTGTTTTCATATTTCATCTGTTATCAACATGTTCTGGGCTGGGAGTGGTTGACTTTAGTCGTGTACCCTGATTGCACAGCAGGAATCTGGTTTTTCAAAAACCTCACACTCCAGACAGGCTTCATGTTCCTTGTTAGAGCATAGAAGTATTTTTTTTTCTGAAGTGACCTCTGCAGATAATCTTTTGATTTCTAGTATCTTGAGCCAGACGATGCTTTATTCTCTTAGTAAATCTCATGTTGTAAGTGACCTTCTAAAGTGGCTTTTTGTGCGTGTGTTTGTATTCACTACCTGAGGCTCAGAGCTCCAGCCAGCAGGAGTGGATCTGGCTTACTTGAATAAGCAAAGCCATGGCAACAACACTTGAAGCTACTTCATTATGCACATCAGTGGCTGGCTCATAAGGAAATGACTCTCAGCTCATTAAGAAATAAGATGTGTGCCTCTTACTAGTATAAATGTACCCAGGGTTTTTTTTAATACCACATTCTGGGTTGACAAACCTTTTTGCTTCCTGCCAGAAATTCATCCTGCAAAGAAGCCTAATATAATTCGATCTACACCAAGCCTGCAAACCCCAACTACCAAGAGGATGCTAACCACTCCAAATCACACATCTTTGAGCATTCTTGGAAAAAGAAACTACAGTCATCACAATGGCCTGGATGGTATGTAAGCGCAGGAATTCTGGAGACTGTTCTTATTGGCTTGGGCCCCATTACCTTGCCTGCCTGGGTATGTCTTCTGACAAGTTCAAGAATATATTTCAAACAGAATCTACCCCATTACTGATCTGAATAAGGGGATTAAGAGGGAAGACTGCCAGATGTTACACAGAAGAATTATGTTGAGTAAAATTTCTCCATTTCATTAGGAGGTACCTTTAGTTCACATTTCCTGTTAGAAGCCCTGTTTGGAGATCAAATTTTTATTTAGCAGTTGCTTCTGCAGGATGATAATGTTCTTGCTGTGGTACACACTCACTGTTCATTTTAAGTTTTCTTGAGCAAAAGGGATTGTTTTGCCTTACATCTAAGACAGCAGTGCTCTCTAAGGGCTATTCAGTAGTTTGAGGATCATTTTGAATTTGGCATTTATTCCTGACTTCTTTCACCTCATAATTTTTTAATTGCTTGAGAGTGCTACAAGTCATGAAAGGAATTGCCTGGGTGGTGTCCTAAATACAAAAATAATAATTTGTTTGAAATGGAAAAACTGTGAAATGTCACTTCTTTTCCAAAGTACTTCTCTTAGTCGTGGAAGTATAATGACTCTTTAGGTGGAATTGAAATAGCTTACCACTTGGACTATAAACACCACTATAATAAATCATCTAGACAGTATATTTTTGTTCATCAGTAGCCCTGGAGTTTGAAGCTGTCTTTATTGTTTAAGGGTTGACATTTATTTATGAATAAAACTCTCTCCAGGCTTTTCATGCCTTCTGGAACTCTAAATTTCTTCAGTGACAGTAAATTACTTGTAACAAGGCCCTAGAGCAAGGATGTGGAATAGATCTTCTAATAATAATTTTCCTTCAGTATGATTTTTTGATGGCCATAATTATGCCAAAATTTATTTTTTAAAGATGGGGTCTGTGCCACTCTAGGCAGGGTAGGAGAAGTTGAGTCCCTGGGAAATGTATTCAGGAACAGTGAAAGCTGGTCTTTTGAGGAGATGGGAATGTATCATCTCTCACCATTGCTAGAGCTGATGTCTGGTATTATTGGGGGGATTTTTGCTTGAGGCTTTTCTGGCAAAATGGAACCGAACCTGTACTTTGTTTCAGTTGACTATCCCTTTCACCCTGCATTAAAAAAAACCAAAGCCTTCCTCAACAATAGACAAAAACATGACCTCAGTGCCTGTGAATCATTCGACTTCTGGGTTTACATTGATGCCATCAGGGTCCAACAAGGAGTTCCTGATGAACCTAAGGCTAGGAGCAATTAAGTCCCACTAGCAAGATGGTATAGGAAAATTAGATGGCTCCTAATATTACTCTAGCATGAAAAAGGGGGTTATATGTCCTAATTAGGGGGGCAAAGGTTGTACCTTTATCCTCAAAATTCAATCCTAGATAGGACCATCAACTGAAATGAAGAGGTAAATGGCTCCTTTCTATAGAAGGGAGTATTGACCTCCATTCTAATGTTGTGGGACTAATTCATATGGAGACTAATGTTAAAAGAGTTTGAAGAAAAGAATAGAAACTAAAAGGGGAATAGTTAGGAAAAAATTGAGAGTGAAGAGATTACTTTGCATTTATAAGGCATCAATGTGTTATATATGTGGCTTTCAATAATTTGGCCACACAGCAGTCTTGCAGAAACACTTTGATTTTAATGAGAACATTGGCCTTCCTTGCCCCAATATTCCTAATGTCTAGACAATAGAAGACCAAGGGACAATAATGTCAAAATGTGGAGAACATATTTCTTTCCAACTTTTCCCTGCCTGTTGCCTAGGACCTTTGGATTCATTCTTACATAGAATCTGGGATCTTTCTTTTCTATCTTATCATCCCTTTGGCTTCTCTAGGTGTATTGTCCTCTGGCTATAAGTGTAAAGTGGGTTGTGATTCATTTGATATATGTACTAGGGTTTGAAATCAGGGCCTTGTATTTTCTAGGTGAGTGCTTTCTACCACTTGAGCCATACCTCTAGTCCTTTTTTGCTTTAGGTTTTTGGGGTTTTTTTAGATAGAGTCTCATATTTTTGCCTGGGGCTGGCCTGGACCACAGTCCTCCTAGCTGTGGCTTCCTATGTAGTTAGGACCACAGGAACCCAACCAGTTAATTTTTTGTCTAGACTGGCCTCAAACAAATAATCTTCCTCTTCCCACATTGCTGCTAGAATTAGGGACATGAGCCACACTATATGTAATCTGTATGTGATGTATTCTTAATGGTAAAAGGACCTCATGTGAGTGATGGAAATATAGCTTCCTACTATCCACTCTCACCCCACGGCCCTTCTGGAGTCCTGTCCCAAGTCCTGCATTGCACCTTCTATTGCCTTTAAACACCCAAGGCTCAGTATGATGAGTATCTACCTTCTTGGAATTTCTTTTAAATGCCTCTATATTAGTTAGCTTTCTTGTTGCTGTGACCACAGTATCCGAGGAAACAACATAAAGGAGGATTTATTTTGGCTAACAGTTTCAGAGGGTTTAGTTGGTTGGCCTTGTGCAGTTGGGGCAGAACATCGTGGCAGTGGGAGTGTGTGAAGGAGGCTGTTCATCTCATGGCAGACAAGAAACGAGAGGAGAGGACTATGGACCAGCTTAATCTTTAAAGGCATACTCCACGTGAATTACTTCCTTAGCACAGTACCTAAATAGCATCACCAGCAGGGGACCAAGAATTCGAAACATGAATCTGTGCAGGGATTTTGAATTCAACTTCTGTAGTGTTTCCTCTGTAGTGTCAATTTGTTCCATGTATATCTGGATAAACACTACAGCAAGGTCATTACTTCTCTATTCTGAACTAGAACAATAGACAGAACACAACCAGTCCTTGGGGAGTATGGGGGGGGCGGGGTTGTGGGGCCTGAACTCTGGGCCTGGGCACTGCCCCTGAGCTCTTCAGCTCAAGGCTAATGCTCTACCACTAGAGCTACAGAGCCATTTCTGGCTTTTTCTGTTTATGTGATGCTAAGGAATTGAACCCAGGGCCTCATGTATGCGAGGCAAGTACTCTACCACTGAACCACTTTCCCAGCCCCATCCTTGGTCTTATTGATTCAGACCTTTACCCTTGTTGGAGAGAACCTGTCTTATTTTCCAAAGAAACTTGGATGTTGTTTCTTCAGGATCTTATATGTCTGTGCTTTGCTGTCTGATATGGATAAGAAGCTGATGGCAATGAACTCTGCAATGTGCTAATTTTCTTTTTTTTTTTCAATTGTGAAAAATCTGTACAGAGGGGTTACTGCAATGTGCTAATTTTCTTACCTGTGTTTTCTATTCTTATTCATATGACAAGATGATCTGGGAGGTCAAGGAATTTATTTTGTGTGTCATTGTTTCTCCATGCCTAGCCTAGTATTTGTCACTGATGTATACAATATAAATTAACTGTATAAAGGAACGTGATTGAAGAAAATGAAACCTAGTGAAGTAAATTAAAATTTCCCAGGTTAAATATATATATATATATAGAGAGAGAGAGAGAGAGAGAAATGGGGGAGAAGAAACATTTAGCTTAGATGTAAAAATTTTCATTCTGCTGTATTAATTGCTGTCATTAAATGAGGTTGTGGCCCTCAAGCAAATTCTCTTTAGTTTCTACAGGTAATTCAATATAAGAGTTAATATGGCTGACTAAATAAACAGCACACAAGGAAGTGTGAGTTATTGTAAACTAGAAGCTTCAGGAGCTTCCCTGGGGAGCTGGAGCCCAGTTCCTAAGGACACTATACTTCAGCCTCAACCTGTGTAGGCATCTCTCAGGAGTTGTGATGAGTCTGTTTCTGGAACATGCTATAGTTACCTCGAATGTCACTGACAGGAACTGGAAAGAGCAAGTCCTCTGCTTCTCCAGCCTTTCAAATTCTATATCTCCTGGGAGAACAGGTTTCCAGGCCTCAGAGGAGAAATGAATTTCAAAGTCCTAACCCCAGCAGCATGAAGCTGGATAGATAGATAGTATAGAGCTGAAGTCAGAACATAATAGAAAATCACATTTAGAAAGTTCCTACATTTGTGTGTTCCTAATGGACCCTTTTCTTAAGATAATAAGTCTGTTTCTTTTCCTCTCCAGAGATAGGATTCTGAGTAGTCTGAATTTCCAGTATGAATTTAAAAGTTCTGGAAAAATGTTTGGCTAGTAGTGAGCTTTCACCAGGTAGTTAATACATGAAATACTGAAATAAGATACAAACTCAGGGAAAAGCCTTTCCCTGTGAGGTACAATAATGAAAGCAATTAGCACTGCTACTTAATTATCAGCATGTCTGACAGATGGGCATGCAAACAGGATGTAGATAGACTAATTTAGCTGAGCATCAAACCTTGCATCTTCTAAAGCATTCAGCTCTCTTAGCATTAGAGCTTCCTGTTTCCTCCTCAGTGGCTTGTCTTCACCAGCCTTCTACTTTTACATTTCAGGTTCTTTTTTAAAAAATTTTATTTTATTGTAAAGATGTTGTACAGAGAGGTTATATGAGTAAGGCAATGAGTACATTTCTTGTTGAGCAATTTCAGGTTCTTGATGATGGAGAGTCTTTTAATTTATTCCATCAGAAAGGATTTTCCCAAGCATTTTTTGAAATGATGGGAGGAAGTGGTGCTGTGGCTCAAGCGGTAGAGCACTCACCTTGAGCTAAGAGCTGAGGGATAGCGCCCAAGCCCAGAGTTCAAGCCCCACAACCAACCCCTCCCCCCCAAAAAAAGTTAGTTGAAATGATGGGAAATTTCATATGTATTTCTTCCTCTTACTTGGCGCTGGTGTTGACTGGAAATGCAGGAAGTCCATGTTCCATGTGCTTTTATCAGCTACCTGATGGCACTGAGTCACACATAGGCTGTGTACACCCTTGTGGGATTTTAACTCTGAGGGTGAAGATCCGCACACATAAGAAACTCAGTGCAAAGAATCAGCAATGATAGAATGAATTTCCAAATTAAAGAACTGCAGGGTGCCTTACCAGTACATTTTTCCAA